GTTCGTTCATTCATTCATTCACAGATGAATTAGAGGAGGCCAGCTCTGGACTAGCCTTGGCAGGATGTCCCAGATGAGGCTTTACAAATGAGTGGGAGTTAGCCAGCTTTGGGGACCAGGGGGAGCAGCATTCAGGCAAACAGAATGGCAGGTACAAGAGGGTAGAGAAAATATGTGGTATGCTTCGCAAGAACAAGTAATTTGATGAGAAGATAAAGCCGGAGGGATGGGAAGCGACCAGGAAAACCTTTCTAATAGTGAGTAATTACACACCTGGCCTACCCTGACCACCCTGTTTAAAACCACACCTGCTTTATTTACTGCTTGATTTTCCATAACCATCCACTAACGTGCTATTTACTCATTTACTCTGCCTAATGTTTATTGTCTTATCTCCCCACTACTGGACTGTAAGCTCCTTGAGGGTAGGGGTTTGTATCCCCAGCAACTAGAACAGTACCAGGTAGGCACGTGGGAGGCACTGGACAAGTATTTGTTACGTGAGTGAATCTGTGCCAGACTTGAGTGGAGACTGGGATACCGAGTAAAAAAGGTTCATGTCTCAAAATGGTCAGTTCATGTAAACAGAGTTACAACACTGCATAATGTAATGAGGAGGGCTTCTCACAGAAGCGTTTCTGGCAGAGGGGCCCACGGCGACGGGGTGAATCTTGAGCTGCGGTTTCCCAGGCAAGAGGAGGGAGTGAGATGGGCGGGCAGCCTGCCACCGTTTCCTGACCAGGTCCCCCCCCGCTGCTCCCCAGCTGTCCATGCTGTTCACGGAGGAGTGTGACAAGGTGCGGGACCTGATGCATGTGCACTCGTTTAGCTACGACTTCCACCTGCGCCTCGTGCACCAGCACGTGCTGGGCGCCCACCTGGTGCTGCGGCATGGCTACCACCTCACCACCTTCCTGCGACACTTCCTGGCCCACCACCCTGATGGGCCCCACTTTGGCCGCAATCACATTTACCAAGGTCGGTGCCCAGGGGCAAGCCAGTGAACCCGAAAAAGAACAGGCCGCCAGGTGTCTCAAGCCAGGGCCAGGGGGACCACTTCCGGGGACCAGACCTTGTCTCTGCCTCTCCTGTCCTATATGGTCCAGTCGCCTCATGTCACCTGGACCCTGTCCCCATGTCTCTGTCTTAAGTTCTTCCCAGTCTGTTTTCATAGCAAGTTTGGTTTAATTTTCATAGCAAGCAAAGTTTAGATCCTGTGTCGTGTGTACCCTGCCCCCTGTGTGTCCTGAGCCACTTCTGTCCCATCTCCATGTCCCTCAGGAGCTCCCCAGAAAGAATCGGCCTGCCTGCCCATCAGAGCCTCAGGGATTCCCATCCTCCGGCCCCACCAGATCACTGTGTCTGTCCCAGGCTCAGTGTCTCCTGTAACTCATCCCTCAGGGACCCTGGAGCTCCCCACTCCGCTCATTGCTGCCCACCAGCTGTACAACTACGTGGCCGACCATGCCAGCTCCTACCACATGAAGCCACTGCGGATGGCCCGGCCAGGAGGCCCGGAACATAACGAGTACGCCCTGGTGTCGGCGTGGCACAGGTAAGGCGAGAAGGGATGCCTGGAGCCGGAGTCGGGGCCATCCTTGCAGTGGGCGACCCGCGTTTTCTTGGGCAGAAGGGGTGGGGTTGGCTTCATCAGAACCTCAGGCTTGACGTCTCCCCAACCCCCACCGCACAGCTCTGGCTCCTACCTGGACTCTGAGGGACTTCGTCACCAGGACGACTTCGACGTGTCTCTGCTTGTTTGTCACTGTGCCGCACCCTTTGAGGAGCAAGGAGAGGCCGAGCGGCACGTTCTGCGGTCAGCAGATCCCCTGCCTTGAACTTGCCCGTTGCCCAGCCGCTCCCTGCTGTTGCCCTGTGTCTCTCCTGCTGTGACCATCACACTCCCGCCCCTCCCCACCCTAGGCTGCAGTTCTTCGTGGTGCTCACCAGCCAACGAGAGCTCTTCCCCAGACTCACTGCTGACCTGCGCCGGTTCCGGAAGCCGCCCAGACTGCCCCCTGAGCCAGAGGCTCCTGGGAGCTCAGCCGGTAGCCCTGGGGAGGCCTCAGGGGATGGTCTGGCCCCTGGACCGGCTCCCCTCTTCCCCCCACTTGCTGCAGAGGTGGGTGTGGCACGGGCACGGCTGGCTCAGCTGGTAAGGCTGGCTGGAGGGCACTGCCGTCGGGACACCCTTTGGAAGCGCCTCTTCTTGCTGGAACCACCAGGACCTGATCGGCTGCGACTAGGGGGGCGCCTGGCCCTGGCCGAGCTGGAGGAGCTCCTAGAAGCCGTCCATGCCAAATCCATTGGGGACATCGACCCCCAGCTGGTAAGCAGCTGTGGGTTCCAGAAGGGGCTGGGATGGACGCTAGGAATTCCACTGGCAGCCAGGGTACAGGTTGCAGGGGTCTCAGAGGTGGTTCTGGAACAGCAGATCCATGCCTGTGGACCTTCCCCTAGGACTGCTTCCTGTCTATGACGGTCTCCTGGTACCAGAGCCTGATCAAGGTTCTCCTAAGCCGCTTTCCCCAGAGCTGTCGCCATTTCCAGAGCCCAGACTTGGGAACTCAGTACCTGGTAAGTCTCTTTGACCTTCCTCTGAAAGGGGAGACACAGCAGAAATCCTCATCAGAGAGGTGACAGGGTCCCCCTCAAAGAACCCCAGTCTGACTAAACAGGGAGGCTGAGATGGAGTGACCACACCGGTAGATGGATGTAAAACCCTTCAAGCACCAAAGCCACAGCATGTGATTCACTGAGAATAACCTAGAGCTGTGCCCTCAGGGCTCACAAAAAGCACAAACGTTGGCTAGCGATCCTGGGGGCCAAGCTCTGGAACCTTGTGAGTGGTTGCTCTTGGAGGTTCCAGTCCCAGAAAGGACCTCCTGGGCTTTCAGGCCTTTTTACCAAAGTGTGGTCCTCACACCAGCAGCGTCAGCACCACCTGGGAGCTGACCAAAGTGCAGACTCTCAGACCCCACCCCAGACCTGCTGGCTCAGAACCTGCCTTTCAGCCAGATCCGCAGGTGATTGGTACGCACAGTAGAGGTTGACAGGTTGCTGGGAAGGACAGGTAGAGAGAGCTATGGCAGTGGGCACAAGCCTGGGGATTGAGAGCCTAAAGGATGGCCCCAACGAGAGCAGCGATCAGGAGAGGAGACATTCAAGAGAAGATTTCAAAAGAAAAGGTGCTTGGTCTGTGGTAAGGGGTCCTGCGACATAGTGCTTGTGGGGAAGACTAGTTTCAAGGTGTGACAGAGCATCACCCAGAGAAGCCAGGGTTAGTTAGGGTAAGGCTGCGGTGGTGCAGGTGGGTGTGAGCAGATGGGGATGCTTCTGTGGGTGGCGGGAACACTGAAGCAGGAGTGGGTTTGGGGGAAGGGTGAAGAATTGAATCTGAGGCCCAGGAGGACCTTCGAGGACCACAGTCTAGAAGGTATATGGGCATCGGGGATTGGAGCTCAGGAGAGAGATGTAGGCAGCACTTACACAAACAGGTGGTGACTGAAGCTGGGCATAGAAGAAACTGCCCAGGGAGAGATCACAAAGCTGAGCGCCAGGGACAGGCATCAGGGAGGCCAGAGACACGAAACCCAGGAGGAAGGGAGGGCTCACGTCAAGGGGAGAGAACCCTCCTTTAATGATGGGCTTCAGTGTGTGAGCTTGTGCAGGGCCTTCCAGTCAAGTACCACTCGCTCATCCTGGTGAGGCTGGACAGGCTAACCGGTGGCCAGTGAGGACGAGGACTGAGGTTGGGCTTGGAGGAGGTCCTGGGTGACCGTACAGTGTAGGTGGGGTCAGGTGTGGTGATGGAAGCGGGCCTTCCTCACACTGGTCCCACTTTCAGGATGCCTTCAAGGAGGGTCTGTGCCTCACTCCGCATCTCATTTTGTCTTTTGCTGCAGGTTGTGCTGAATCAGAAGTTCACTGACTGTTTCGTGCTAGTGTTTCTGGATTCCCACTTGGGAAAGACGGTGAGAACGGGAGGGGGCGGTGAGGGGCTTTGTGTCAGCCTAGTAGGAGGCTGTACCCCAAATGCTCCATCCCAGAGCCTGCTGAGGCTGGGGAGCCCTGCTCCCTGGGCTCAGCCTGCCCTCCTCTCACCACCCCCGCCCCGTGTTCCCCACAGTCTCTGACAGTGGTTTTCCGAGAGCCCTTCCCGGTACAGCCCCAGGACAGCGAGAGCCCCCCTGCCCAGCTGGTCTCTACTTACCACCACCTGGAGTCCGTCATCAACACAGCCTGCTTCACCCTCTGGACCCGCCTCCTCTGAGGGATGGGCCACTGAATGTCCTCGAATTATGGCTCTGTAGGATTGCCCACTTGCAGCAGGACTGGCCAGCCCTCTGGGCACCCGGGCAAGACTGGACACTGAGGGATGCCAGTCGTTGTGTGAATGTGTCTTGGGGACCTGGTAGCAGGAGCTGCCCTCCCTAAACACTCACTGCCACTGACCAGCCCAGGGATCCAGAAGGTCCGGTCACCTCCCTGAGGTGTCCATGCCATCTCAGGTCCCTGGGCCCTTCCAGAAGGAGACTGCTCCTCCCTGCTCACTTGGTGGAGTCTGGGAATTCTTCACATCAGGTGGCACATAGACCCCTTAGAGTTCCTCTGCCTGAATCCTGCCTCCGAGCCTTGGCTTGCGGTCAGCCACCCGCCTCCCCCACCCCCATCTTGAGCCCTGTGGTCTTCACTGCCCACGGGGACATCATTGCTGGACAATTGCCACTAAGACACCTGGGTTCCAATCCCAGCTCTGCCTTTGAAGCATCTGTGACCACGGGTGAGTCCCTTTGCTCTCGGACCCTTGGTTTCTCATCTGTACGTGAGGTGGTGAGCTCAAAAGCTCTCCCATCTCCACAGCAACACTGGCACAGACTGGAGGACTTGAACGTGAGCTGTATGTCCCTTCTCTGCAGGAAGGAAGTGACCCAAAGAAACTGAAAAGTTAGGCACTGTGTGTCCCTCCCCCTCCCCCTCCAATAACATACACACATGGAAACCTTCAGCAGATTGTCTTTAATTCAGAGGAGACTCGGGATGTGCAGCTCACCATCCCAGAGGTGTGTGGCTGGAGCGCAGGACCTCACTGGCCAGCCTGTGGGCGGCCCCGCTTATCCCAGTACGAACGTAGCCAACTCAAGCCCTCTACCGTGTCTCCTGAGGGGAGAGGGACCCGAGGCATCTCAACCCACGAGGAGGAAAACAGCCCCTGCCTGACACCTGTCCCTCCAGAGCCCCCTCCCCAGGGCCAGGCCTGGAGCTCTGCCCACCCTCACCTCGAGGCTGGTACTCGCAGCCCACAAAGCCTTTGTAGCCTTCATCTTCCAGAAGTTGGAACAGATAGGGGAAGTTCAGCTCTCCAGGGCTGCCGGGTTCCCCTCGGCCTGGGACCTGTGCCACCTGCACGTGCCCTGGGAGCAGATGTGGGCAGATGTGGGGGGGGGGTAGAAAGAGTGGGAGGACAGAGGAAGCATCATGGCAGACTAGGAAGGAGCCAAGAAAGGGGCCCTCACCAACGAGGGGCAGGAACTCCCGGATGTTCCCCGTCAGGTTCCCGTCCATGATCTGCCAGTGGAATATGTCCTGGGGCAGAGATTCCGAGTCACAGACCCTGCAGGCCACACCATTCTGCCTGGATTTGGAGAACACAGGCCCATGGGCCCTCTGAGAAGCACTCCCTCTCTCCCACTTACCATCTGTAACTGGAGGTTGGGTCTTCCAACTTTCTCTAAGATGGCTGCCGCTGGGAGAGAAACCGGGGAGGAGGCCATGAGACTCAAGGAGGGCGCCAAGAATCAAGGGACAGGAGGAGACAGGGCTGGGGTCCTACCCTGCTGGGGCGTATCCAGGAAGTACCGGGGGTCCGTGATGCGGGTGTTGATGGGCTCCAGCAGCCCCACAAGGTTCTCCTAGCACCAGGCAGGATCCGTGAGTAGAGCTCTCCCTGAGGTTTGTACCCCCTCAATCACCGATCAAGCCCATCACCAATCCCTCCGGCCTGGACCGGGGCCCAGCCTCTGTGCCTCACTGCTCTCCCCACTGTGCATCCCCTCCACACACACACACATTCATGAAGCATGTGTGTCTGTATGTGTTTTCACCGTCTCACCTGAGCCAGAACCCCAGCTGCATGCCTCAGGTTCTCCAGAAAAACTGTGTCCATTTCACCCCTGACTGCTGCTCGATCAGCCCCCTGGGGCACTCGGCCAGCCATCAGGTGAATCCTGTGGGGAAAATGGGCCTGGATGGGGCTGTGGAGTCCACCCTCGAAGCGCGAGCTTTCACTCCGTTGCTCCCTGGGTGCACCTCTTCCAGCTGCTCTCCGATCATGCCGGATTCCCATCTCCCCAGGTCTCTCACTTAGCGCCTCCTGTACTTCCAAATTCTCCTTTTCCGTGCCCCTTCTCCTCATGCCTACAAACGTGATTCTCACCTTTAAAAAATTAGTTTGACCCTTACCCTTCTCAGGAATTCCACGCTGCTTGTCACTCCTCCTTGCATCTGTTTCTTAGCTTCCCATCTGTTTTCTGCACACACACTCCTCCACCCCCTTAATAACCCCTTGTGGCCAGTTCCTTCTCAGCCTGGTTGCTCTGTGCAGGATTTGACATTTATGAGATCAGCCCCACTTTGAGTCCCCCTCACTTCACCACCTGATCCTTTTCAGCCACCTCCAAAGCAGACAGGTTACATTTACAACTTTTAATTTAACTTTTATGCCCCTCTTGCCTTTGGCCCCTGCATCCTTGACGGGAATGCTCCTTACCTCAAGCAAGTGCCCACTAGAGACCCACTACTTACTACCTGTAAGCTTTCTCTGATCCCAGACAGAGTTACTGCCTACCTGCTCCCACAGCCTCCTTGAACTGACCTGTCCTCAAACGGATCACTCCGTTTGTTTACTGTGCTATCTATCTCCCAGGTCAGACTAAGCTCCCAGCACGGGATCCCAGCATGAGTTGAGCAAGAAAGAGTTGCAAACAGAGAGTGACACACAACAGATGAAATACAGGAGGCAATTTACAAGGGGCCCGGACGGAAGGGGCGAAGAAGGGCCAGTGCGATGGACCTCTGAGCCTCTCAAGCCCCAGCGGCCTGTTCTCTCGTGGGTCATGGGGGCGGGGGATTGGAGAGAGGAGGATACCTGGGACAGCCCAGAGCCTTGGCGTACAGCACAGCCTGCTCCAGCCCATCTCGGAAGGCCGCCTGCCTCCCGGGAACGGCCCCCAGCCCCATCTCCCCTTTCTCTCGGTCTCCTGCGGAGAGAATGGGCCTCAATTCCCGGCTCGCTCTCCCGGCTTGCCCCGCCCAGGCCCGGGCCCCCACGGCGCACCCGGGGGCGTGTTGATCAGCACGAGCTGTAGCCCCACTTCCTGCGCCGTGCGCGCCAGCGCCTCCGGCGGCTCCCCGTACGGCCAGCCGACCTCGGCCGCCTCGAAACCCGAACTGCCCGCGGCCCGGAGCCGTGCGGCGAGGCTGGGGAGCTCGGGGAACAGCCACGACACGTTGGCCGAGAAGCGCAGCGGAGCCATGGCCGGCCGGGAGCGCGCGTGGGGCAGAATCCGCGCAGCCGGAAGGCAGCAGCCGCGGGCGGGGCCGGGGAGGGGAAGGGACTGAGGGCCCGAGCGGGGGGCGGGGCGGAGCGGGCGCCGAGGCGGCGGAGGAGCCCGGCCCTGCCGGGCGGGGGCGCGCTGTCGCCGCGAACTGGGTGCCGGCTCTCTCCGGCTGGGAAAGCCGTGCGTCGTAAAAACCGCGGACTGGCCAGAAAAGTGCACTTTCCCTGACGGGAGAGGGCGGCGCGCGGAGGAGGTGCGGACCCAATTAACGTGAAGGAGCGTGGACGCTAACAAACGCTTCGTGTTTTTCCTTCATTATAACCAGAGTACCTGTTCATTATGGAACATTTGAAAGTGTGTGCCGCACCACTCACCCGTTAACTTTCCCGTACAGAGCAAAAACTAAACACGTGCAGTCTTTTCTTAGAAAACCCTGATCATAGTGTATATGCGATTTTATGGCATATTATTTCGTGAGCATTTCCCGTGAAAACCTTGAATTAGCTGCTCACTGTTCCGCACCGGGACATCCCAGAATCTGTTGATGGTCATTAGGGATTTCAACGTGTGTGTGCGCGTGCGCTATAAAAGCACTTTAATGCACTTCTTAGTCCCATCTCTGAATCGTTCTCTGAGGTTTCTTTTGTAGGAACAAAGTACGAAGTCCTTTATAAGGAAAACTGCCCCCACCCCTGGACTCCGCACTGAGCGGCTATGGGCGGGCTGTCCCCTCTCAGCCCCGGCTGATTGGACCACGGAAAGACATCTGATCCAAGGGCAGCCAATCCATAGAATAGCCCGAGACCCTTGATTTGTCCAATTTGGAAAGATAGTCTGACCAATCAGGCTCCCTCTTGGAGAGTTCAAACAAGGAAATACTGAGAGCCAAGTGGGAGGTGGGTTTGCCGGAAGATGACTGTGGCTGTAGAAACTAAATAAGCAGGAGTCAGGTGGTAAAGAAAAGCTAGAGCAGAGGGGGTGGGAAACTGAGCACTATGAATAGGGGTAGCACGTTGAGATGCCGCTGCTGCAGAGTTGTCAGGACTGGCCAAACCCACGGCAGCTCCCAGGTCTACGCTTCCCAAGGCCAGGATGTTTAGACTTTCCCGGGTTTCTGTGTCTGTAGCCTCTTAATGTTTCTTCAGATCATTCAAATGAATTTATCAATATTTCAGCCACACTAAACCAACTGAATGGGCAGATTCCAAGTTGGGTGAAAAAATAGGAGCATGCTTAAGTTCTTGACGACTGTGCTAAATGGCTTTTCAAAAATATTGTCAGTTTACACTTGGACAATACATTCATAGACGTCATCTTGATCTGCTTCCTGTACTAGCTTTGACAAAAAGCAGCTTGAAGTGCAACACCAGGAGCACCCAGCGTCCACTGTCTTCCTGTCACTGCTCTCTGGCATCCCAAGTCAAGCTCACCCAGGCACCTGGGATCCAGGCTCAGCTCAGAGTGAATGCAAGTGCCTGGCAGGTACTGTTTCTTCAGCTCTGCCTCCAAGCACGGATTGCCACCAGCTATGACCGATCACCTGATTTCTTGCCCCCCTGCAGTTGGCAGTATACTTGGAAATCAGACTCCTCCTGGAACGTGTTTCTTGGGTACTGTCCAATCAGGATGTGACCTCACTAAGTTTAACAATCCCAACTTCAATCCCAACTTCAGCGTGTTTATGATCATTGTTGGCAATACAGAATAACATCTAAGGTAAGTAATTCCTTATTAACACTCCACTGTAAATCTGAGTATGCAAATTCTATTTAAGACTTTCAAAGCACCACCATCTGCTGGGGTCTGTACCAGAAACAAAATTTGTCCAGCCTCCAATGGTTCCACTCCTTTTTCGCTTGTATTCCCTGTAGGGCAGCAGAGATGATGTATAAACTAGATGTGCGTGACTCACTTTTCCCCTTAATTCCCTTACAACCACCTTTACATAATGTATCAAAATATATACAAGAGAGGTACAATGCCCATGACAATTATTTTCTTTAGTCACCATTTGTCTGTATCTTAACCCACTTTGCAACAGAAGCATTACACGAAGTTATTACAAATCTTGATTCTTTGCATTTAACTTTTAATCAAAGAACTTGTACAGCTATGATGATCAGTTAAGATAACAACAGCTTGTAAATAGTTACATGGATAATGGCTGACACTTGCACGTAGAGTTCAGATTCGCATTTGACCACTGGATTGCACTTGCCAACGTCTTAAAAAACATTACAACTAATATGTGAAATGCAATCAAAACCTCAGTGAAATTTCATTTTATACTTTCCAGATTGGAGGAAAAAAAAAAACACCTTAAAAGTCAGACAATAGCAAGTATTGGAAGGGATCTGGAACAACTGCAACATTTATTCACTGCTGATAGGAGTATAAATCACTACAACCACTTTGGAAAATAATCTGGCATTATTTCTTAAAACTGAACATTCATATACCTTTGATCCAGCGGTTCCTTGCCCAGGTTTATCTCCTGGAGAACCGTGTGCACGAGTGTACCAGGAAATAATTCATTGATGTTCATAGCACCACTATTTATGTAGCAAAAATAAGGAATTAACTCAAATGTCCATTGATAAATGTATAGATGTGTTGTTGTATAGTCCTACAGTGTTGTTTATAAAAGTGAAGAAAAAGCTGGTGACTCAAATGGTAAAATTGAGTTTGCTCTTGGATTAGAGTAATATATGAAGAGCTTAGTGACGTTTGGGTCGAATTGAAAGCACCAGTATGAACACATCGAATGGATAAATCTCAGAAACATAATTGTAAGTGAAAGAAGCAAATCACAGAGAAATATATACAGTATGATTCCATTTACATGAAGTCAAAAGCAGGGGAAACCAAACAATATCTTGTGTAGGGCTACAAACATCTGTGGTAAAACTATAAAGAAGAGCAAGTGATAATGACCACAAAATTCAAGATGATAGTGACCTCTGGAGTGGGAGGGAAGGGAGTGGCATTGGAGACTTCAAGAGTAATGGCTGTCCCCTTTCTCTGGTGTGGTGTGATCACACATCTTTGTTTTATCACTACTCTTTATATCTTACATATATTTTATAAATATCATTTTGTATCTGTTTCATATTTAATAAGAACAAAATTTTAAAACTTTCTGTATGCATTATTACCACCTGTTAGCACATTTTCTATTAACATCCTCATTGTAGTATCATGAGAATCTCAAGGTTTTTCTACAGACTCAGCTTGTTTGTATTAGACTAGAATTACTACATTTTGGATTCAATGTGGCACCGCTCAAGCTAGTGGTCTTTGATTGTATTACCTGCTCAGAACCTGTGCTAGGCAGCCTGTGAAATTGGTCCCCAGTGATCTCCACATTCTGGTCTCCATGCTCCCTCTGCTTGAATATGGGCTGGACCTCGAGATTCACTTCAAACAAACAGAATACAGCAAAGCTGGTCCAATGTCACCTCAGAGATTAGGTTACAAAAAGGCTTTGGCTTGTGTCTTGGGTGCCCTCTCTCACTCTTTCACTCACTTGCTCTGAGGAAAACCAGCTGCCATATTGTGAGCTGCCCTATGGAAAGAGCTATGTCAAGGGGCTGATGCAGCCTGTGAATGAGCTTGGAAGCAGGTCTGCTCCCACTGAGCCTTAAGATGACTGTGATCCTGACCAGCACCTTGACTGCAGCCTCATGACGGATAAGGTTTGAGTCAGAGACATCCACCTAAGGCACGCCCAGATTTCTGGCCTACAGAAAGTCTTTGATAGTAAACATTTGTCATTTTAAGCCACTGAGTTGTGGGGTAATTTGTTAGCAGCAATAGATATCTAGTAGAGGTTCCCTTTCTTCTTCTGGGAACTGTTCCCTTGTTTGGGGGAATTATCACTTTCACCACTTCTTCATCTTAAGTGTGAATAGGTGCTGTCATCTTCTTATAAGATCCTCTCTTCCCAGCCACAGTGATTGGTCAGTGAGTGGGCACCTGACCGAAGCTGGACCAACCAGAGTACCTGTTATAGACATTGTAGGTTGCCTACCCCACGTCTGTTGCCTCTTTTCTCCTTCTTAATAGAACCATACCTCATGGGGACATTCAGGCAGAGAGAATAGAAATGATGTACAGAGAGACATGGCAAGAAACACCGAGAGAGGCGTTGTATTCGCTTGGAACATCTGTAAGGGAATCAATCAAGCTAGCCTTCCTGCTTCATCTTAATTCTTTCCAAAAAAGAGATGTCTCAGAACTAACTTGCTTTTCCCATCCCAAGACCAAACATTGTGCACATTTCAAAAAACACATGGTGCTTTTGGTAAGAAGCAATTTGAAGACCTGGACCCTGGGCACTTGGGCTATATATTTATATCATTTCATGAATTTAGATCATTTCATATAGCTGGTAGTGGTGAACTGGATGACTGATAGCAACTTAGGGATCTCAGTGTCTCTGAGGGAATCTTTATCTTTCAAAGTCATGAGTTTATGCTGATGATTTTTATTTCACCCGATCTTCATTAAGCTTTTTCCTACCTTGCTCTAATACAAGAGCATCTTCATTTCTATTTTAACTTTCTTATTTGAGCTCCCAGTCTTTTTATCACTTTTATACAGCATGTTCAAATCAGGCTCCATATATCATGTTATATATTTTCACATCCAACCATGTGTTCAGAATCTAGTGTCACTCTATTATTTGTTTGAACCATTGAGTCTGCATTTCTAAGGCTTCGGAATTTAAGTTTCCCCCTTTACTCAATTTACCAGTAATAGTCCATATCACACAGATTCATGATAGCTTGTAACTGTGTCAAAAAGGAAACTAAACCTTTGGTAAAGTTTTTCTTTCATAGGTTTCTACCGTATCCAAGTATGTCATAGGGGAATATCCGTGATACATCTATTAT